CGATGAAGCGGCTGTCGAGGTCAACGGATCCAACGAGCTCCTTTGGTTCGCTCTTCGGCGCCATAGTTGGGGTTGCCTTCTTAGTTGCTCGGGCGATGGTGCTCAAACCTTTCAGCGCAACCTCGAAGCACCTCCGGGACGCCTCGATGTCCCCGTTCAGGGTCACTACGACCCCCCGCCTCGTGTAGTACTTCATTTTTAGGTGGACGGTGGAAGGCACCGCGGTGAGTTCGGCCATCGTCATCCTGCCCAGGATACAATTGTAGAGGGACGAGCACTCGATGACTAGGAAGCGGATGTTGATTTCCCTGGCGGTTTCCTCTTCCCCGAATGTGACTTTCAGTTCCACGTATCTCCATGGTCTCGTGGTCGTCCCGTTGAACCCTTGGAGGTCAGAGCCCACATAGGGGGATAGGTTGGATTCGTCGAGCTGGAGGGTCGTGAAGAGGTGAGTGTACATGATGTCCACTGAGCTGCCCCCGTCGACGAGGATGCGTCTGACATTGAAGTTCGCCATCTTCGCTCGTATCAGCAGGGGAATGTTGGAATTGGGGGAGCCCCCGGGGAATTCCTCGAGGTAGAAGGTGATCGGGTTGGATCGGCCGCGAAATTTTTCGAGCGTGCTCATCTTCCCAGAGTTTCTCGTGATGAGTTCTTCGAACTTTCTTTTAACCGATCCTATGGATAGGTTCCTCGTAGAGCCGCTGGAGATTACCATGGCTCTCGGGAAGTATTCCCATCGACTGGTGGGTCGTACCGGTTCGTCGTGCAGGCCAAGGCCGTCGGGGAGGCCGAACTTTCTATCAGCGAACCAATCCTCGGGGCGGCTGACGCATAGGGCGGCCTGGAGTCCGTTCTCGCCGTCTGAAGAGAGGAGTTCTTCGACTTTCTTGGCCTCGGGAGCTTCTTGTCTTGGGGTCTCTCCCCCCATGTGTATCTCTTCAGGTGGTCATCCTTAATCAGGATTTCGATCGCGTCCTTGAGATGGATGCAGTCTTCCGTCACGTGCCTGTGGCTCCTGTGGAAGAGGCAGTACTTCGATTTGTCCACGTTGGGCTTGGGAGGCGTCAGCATGGGGAAGCAGACACCTCCTGGATAAATTCGGTCTTGGCGCATTCGGCCAGTATGCGCTCGCGGGAAGCGACTAGGACCGTGTATTATGTGAATCTGCCGGCGGGGCCGCGCTGTTCGCGTTGTTCGCGGGGGCGATCTTCCCGTCGGCGATCACCTTCGCGCCGGTGGCTCGAAGCTCTATCGTCTCGGTGCCCGCGGGGGGTCTCCCTATCTCGCGTGTCTCAGGCGGAGTTGGTTGCTTGAGTTTCCTCGAACCGGATATAATGTGCGGCTTTTCGAGGAAGTCCTGCAGAGATGCTGGTCGATGTATCCCCACGGCCTCGTAGAACTTGGAATCGCGGCACAGGCCCTGCTCCATTAAGTAACGCTTCATCTCGTCTGGCGTCGTTACCTGTATTGCTTCCCGTGTAAATCTCTCGATGTATTTCTGGAGAGGCTCGTTGGGAGCTTGGATTATAGCGCCGAGCGCGGCTTCCGTCTTCGGATGGCGCCGGGATGCTGTGAAGTGTTTCGAGAACAGGTCTTTCAGGACCCTCCACGACGTAACCGATTCTGGCTCGAGACTCTTGTACCACGTCATGGCACCCTACCTCAGGGTTGTCGGGAATAGTCTGCATTTGATAGCCCCTCGAACATTTCGGTAGTCGAGCATGGTCTCGATGTCTTCCAGGTGATCGTCTGGGTCGGAGGTGCCATCGTATGTCGAGAGCGTCGGGGGCTTCTCCATCCCGTGGGGGATGGGGGTGGCCATGATTTCGCGGGACAAGGGAGTCCTGTAGTCATCTTCGTCGCTGAGAGAGGGTGACCGAGGGGGGGACAAGCCATCTGGCAGAGGCACCTGGTTTCGGATCCCCAGCCTCCTGACTGGGGGGTCAATGCGGGGAGGCCCGGTCGGGGCCCCTGCTCTGGCCTGTCGTCTCCGACGAACTTGTCTCGTCAAGGACCTCGTCCGCTCCCGTACTGCTTCGGGTTGGGACCTCTCCAGCCGAGGTCGTCGATTCCTGGGTTGAGGCGAGGGACTCCTCGAGTTCCCGTTCTGGTCTTCCCGCGGAGGGGACCTCAACGAGGCCTCGCGTTCTAGCGCTCCAATCCGCGCGTTCTGTTGAAACAATAGCTGGTTCGTCTGGTTGATGGCCGCGAAGAGGGCGGCCACCGTTGGGTCCGCTCCAGCCGGGACGGGAACAGGTTGGAACGCTGTCGGGCTTTGGGGCCGGAGGACGGTCTAGTGTGTCTGTTCTGCGGACGATGGAGATGTAGTTTGTCCGTCTCTCTCGTCGGTCTCTGTTGGGCATGACGTCTCTATTTGCTTGCCACCGTTGGCGGCAGCGTTGAGCATGAAGTCGTGCACGGTATCGTCGTGGTGTGGGCTAGCCATAATCGTGGAGTGTTGGTGAAACTTTGGTTTTCTGCTCGGAGTAACGGGGAAGTTTTCGTTCCCACAGACGGCGCCACTGATCTGACCTGATCAGAAGGGGATCACGGGCTGGCCACACTCTGTTGCACTGCTACCTGTTCACCGGTGATGAGGAGGAGAGAGGGGGTGTACCTGCAAGACACTCTGATGCCAAAGTAAGGAATTGGGCAGAGTGAGAGCAAAGTACAGAAAAAGGGGTAAGAAGTGTGTTACCTGACCCTCTTGTGGAAGAGGGTATTTATAGAGAGACCCCAGCGCTGGGCCAACGGTCACTTGCGTTGGGCTGGATTGCCAGGCCCAACCTAAGTGACTGTTAGGGCTTACGTGGCGTAGTGAAGACCAGAACGTGATATTCGCCCTAGTTCAACTGTCCCGTGATCTCCGGAAGGTGGGTTTGACCTGCTTTTTCGGAGGTGGGCAGTTGGTTAGTGGCGTGTCCCCGCGGAGGGGTGCACGTGGAGAACGTGTGAAGGACACATTGTCCTGCCCGGCGATGGAACAGGTTCTGCCCGCGGAGGGCAGTGTTGGTCGTGATGGGAATTCCCTGCCCGACGTGGTCGGTGCAGGTCCTTCTCATGGGGAGACCGTCCCTGTTCGTCAGGGACCCGACGCCCGACGCTGTGCCCAGGCTGGTCTGGGCTCGATGGGACAATATTAGGCTCGGCCCGTGTGGTTAGGTCAGGGTCCAGGCCTGAACATAATCTATGTCCTATAAATAAGATTTATATTAAAATTTAAAATATATGTTTAAAGAGAATTATATAATACTCCATTTATATTGATTTATAAGAAAAAACACTTACTTTTCTTATAAATAATATCAACTTTATTTCATTTAACCTTTTTATTTTAAAAAATGTATTTTTTTTCAAGATTAAATATAAATTACATTTAACTCGATTTTTCTTTTATTTTTTCCATAAACAAAGATCAATTAAAATTATTTTTATATCGTCCATAAAATATTTCAAAAAATATATAAAAGTTTAAGTTTTCTTTATAAATATGAAATGTTAAATTTTTTGTTATAAATTACGGAGGAAGTAATCTCTTATTCTCTTTTTCACTATTTTGTTAAGCATTAATTAGTGTGAGTAATGTGATCAGGACCGACCCTAGGAGTTTAGGGTCTCACTTTTTAAAAAAAAAAAAAAAAAATATATATATATATATATATATATATATATATATATATATATATATATAGTTTTAATTAATTGATATATATTTTTTTAAAATATATTATTTTCTATATAAATTATATAATAGTATCTATTAAAAATTTATGATAATAAGAACCATTTAATAAAACATATTGTATAATTGATTAATTTATAAATTAAGATCATCTTAAATTTTTTGAGTAATGGAGGTTTAATTGCCAATAAAAAATCAGAGTTCAATTTTGTTATTGTTTAAACATAATCAATATATTCTTTTTAGCTACGACTCGTGAAGTTTTTTTAATTCTACCCGACAATTCCTCTTACACACTATTATAGAAGGTCATGTTAAAAGTCAAGAATACTTGAAATTTAAGTTTTTTTTTTAATTTTAGTAATATATTTTCAATTATGATTTTTTAAAATAATTAGTAGAGTATTTAGATGTGTAAATTTTATTATCAATTGAAAATATCAAATAAAATTGCTTAAATTTTAACAAATCTAAAAAAAAACTCATTAATTTAAAATAAAAATATTTTTATTATATTAAAATATATGGTGTGTCTCTCACAAATATGTTATTCTAAAAAAAAATTTTAGAATATTCAATACTCCTTAATAAAAATATCATCCAAATGGTGCTATCAAAACCTTTAATTCAAATGAAAGATCAATTTATTTGTATTGAAAGTATACATAGTGGCGGTACAAAGGTGGAGTAAGAACCAGACATCAGTGCAGTTGCACAGTCTCTTGCGCATTTAAAAATCTCACCCAACATACTCTTCCGTATAATGATTTTCTTTCCTAAAACATAACATTTTCTTTCAAATAATTTAACTTTGTATAACGGGGAAATCAAGAATACAGGGCGATGAGTAATTGAGTATTAATATTTAATACCTAAAATCATACCTTTTCCAATAATAAAAACATGAGAGAGATGAGCGTCAAATTTCAACTTGTTTTGGCACTCAGTGCTGGCCATTTACAGTAATCCCAGCTTGTTCTACAGTTACACAAAAGAAAAACAGAAAAGCCAAAATTGGGTTTAACAAAATATGACACCGTTATCTGTTGAGGGAATAGGCTGTCAATAGTTAAAATATCAACGGAGATAACTCTATTTAAAGAGATTTCAAACGAGGTCAATGTAATTTTCTTCTACTGTTAATTTTTATTTTATTTTAAATTTTTTTACTCCCTTTCAAGAAAACAAGAGTCGGTTTTTCCAACGGAAACAAAAAAAATCAAAGATGAGGTTGGTGGCATGGTAAACTCGTGTGATAAATATTTAAAAATTGAAAGCATTTCATAGCAGAATTTCAGAACCCATCACTCTCAACATGGCGAACCAATCCAGCATCTTAATCTTCATCTTAGCCCTAACCACCTTCTTCTTCGTCACCAATTCAACAGCCAAAGAATCCGTATACGATTTACTTCCAAAATACGGTCTCCCTAGTGGTCTCTTACCTAACTCCGTCATCGACTATACGCTCTCCGACGACGGAAGATTCGTCGTCGTTTTGGACAGTACTTGCTATATTCAGTTCGATTACTTGGTTTATTACGAGAAAAAGATTACCGGAAAGCTGAGCTATGGGTCGATTAGTGATCTTAAGGGGATTCAAGTTCAGCGTGTTTTTATTTGGTTTAACGTGGATGAAATTAGGGTTGATTTGCCTCCTTCCGATAGTATTTACTTTCAGGTTGGGATTATTAACAAGAGGCTTAGTCTTGATCAGTTTAAGACCGTGCGTTCTTGCCGTAACTCGATTGGATCTTCTCCTTGTTCATCCTATTCATCACTGGTATTTTCTCTTCTTTTTTTTTTAATTGTTTTGGTTTTGGAAATTTTAGGTTTCAGTTTTGGATTGTGAGTTTTAGGTTTTCTTGGATATTAGATTAGGTTGAAGATGAAGAGAGGGGTTGAGATTATGGTAGTGGTAAGATTATTGAAGGGATAACCTAATCTTTTATTTTGTTAAATTAAAATTGGTTTTACTATTTTTAGGATCTGAACTTTGGACAATGATTTTTAGCTGATTTGTTACTGATTTTCAGGATCTATGTTGGATTTTTAACTGATTTGTTAGGTTAGTAATCAGTCTTGCTAAATTAGAAAGTGATTCTCAAGACATAAATTGATTTTAATATTTTTGGAGTTCTTGATTGAAATTGATTTTGTCTTTACGATTGATTATGCAAGGAAGCTGAGATTTGGAGTTTTTGTTTGCTGAATGTGATTTCAATATTCAAATCTATTGTCTTAACTCACTTTCGTGTAAAACATATCTGAACTCAAATTATTTAGAAGAGCTAAATAATCTGTTGATGTGGTGAGGATGTATTTGAATTCGCCAGGAGGAAAAATAGTTAATTAGGGGTAGTATGAATTTATGATCGCGTCCCGAATATGCTTAAGTAAGCATTGAAGCTAAGTATTCCAAAGAGTCGATTAGATTTTTGTGTCTCTATTTGAATTTTGATTGAAATCGGAACTCAAATATCTGTTTTGACATATTCTGCAATTAGTTTCCCAAAAAGGTGTCAGTTGTGCTTCCCATTCAATATTTTGTTTTCACCGCAACTCCTTTTTAAATTCAGACACCTTCTGAGAGGGTGTCAAGCCCAAAACGCGTAGCTCGAACGCCCAAAAGCCTAGCGCAGAGCTCAGAACTTAGAGCTCATTTCCAAGAGCTCTCGGCTCGTAGCAAGAACTCGGGGCTCCTAGCTCCTAGCTAACTTTTTATGATAGCAAACCATGTGCTCTCTATGATAAGCAGACAGTTAGTTATCGATATTGCAGACAATATGAAGAGATGGCGAATCTTATAACTTATAGGATTCACTCTCCCCAGGGTAAGGCTAACTGTGAACCTGTAGCAACTGATTGAATATAAGGATCCTTTCACCTAAACCTTCCTCATATGAGTGTGTCTGCAATGTGGTGTGGGCATGTAGCGGCGGCTTTGTTACCAATCGATTGTTGCCTTAAAACTTTTACTTTTCCACAAAATAAAGGCATATACTTATTGGATTATGATTATAACATAGTATTAAGTGCAAGTAACTTTCGCCCTTCTTCACAACCTCTATTCAGTATTATTTTTTTGCTGCTAAAATTGTTCTCTTATAAGGTCAGAGAAAAACTAACTAACTTGTACAAATCTTTTTCAACTTGCAGCTTCCTGCTCCACTGAAGGAAATTCCTATGCTTCTTACAGAGTAGATGCTGTTTTATACGCATGATGGAGATCTTCACCTGCAAGTGTACCTCTAGTGTTAGCTAATTTGTAAATCAATCTGGACTCACAAATCTCCGAGTCTGGTTGAGTTATATTAAATATCTTCACGAGACCTTCATGAACATATCATATTATCATGTATTGTACATAAGTTCTGAGACTTCATTTCATGTGTATTTTCTATTTTCAGTTAGATTTAAATGTGCTTTATGAGTTCTACGTTAGATAACTTTCACATTTTTCAAGTCTTTTATTTCTAAAGAAATCTCTTTGGAGCATGTTCTAAGAATATATAAATTTACTAAGCGATGGAGCAATATCAACAATAAGGACGGTTATTTTTAACTTAAAAAAGAATAGATTTTTTCTTTTGTATCTTTAGAAATGATTTTTATAAAAATATTTTTTTAAATGTTAACATTTTTTAAATTCGTTTTTTTGAAGTTGAAAGATTAACTCTGATAATATAACATAAATATATATATATTAATATATAACATAAATATATATTAATATGAAGATCAAAATATACTCAAAATTGTTATTTTTTTAGAAACTTGTATCTCAAATTGTTTATTCAAATTTTAATATCTAAAGAAACTTCAATAAAATAATAAATATTTAAAATAATATTTTAATAATAATTATTCAAATTAAATTTTTATTTAAATTTTTTTTTAAAATTATTTTAAAACATAAATATATAATCCTATAAAAAGTATTTTAAAACATAAATGTATTGTCTTATATAAATTATTTTGTTAAAAAAACTGAAACAAACTAGTTGTTAATATCACACGCGGTTCATTCAAAGCCAAATTTTGATTAGTCATTAATTTTCTCTCACCAAATAGATTAATTCAGTTTTGAGAGAATCTGATATTTAAATTGATCAAAAATAATTAAAAAAAAATAAATTAGTTTGGATTGGATTTGTAAACTTTTTCGATAAAACACAAATCGAACCAAATCAAAAAGCAACGAATTGGTGTAAATTGGATTGATCGGATATATTAGAAACAAATGTGCAAAATATTTTTAAAAAATATATATTTTACATCAACTAATTTTCGATAACAATATAAAAATTTTAATTTTTTTGTTTCTTCGTATAGTTGTGTATGTTACAAATAACTTTTTTTTCTTCTTAAAAAACAAATATTTTATACTAGTTTTCATAATAATAGTGATATAAATTATATGAATTAATATGGTTGGTTCGGATAGACGGACTCGCAGGTAAAATTTTAAAAATCTATTACTCAAACCAATTATATCGGATTTTATTGATTTGGTTCGGTTTTATCCCGAACTAAAAAATACCCGACCCAAATTGTTGGAATGAAAATTTACTATTCTATTGATTCACTATTGTTGTTATCAGTTCTTGGAAATGAGAGAGAACGAAAGTAACAGAATTTTCAGGTAAACAATCATGCAGAGAGAAAATGAATGAATGAATCACTGTTCCATTTCATTTTTTAATTTTGACTTATTACAATGCGTATTTATAACACTTAGACAAAATTAAACTATGGTAACGTGTGAATTTACCATTGCCTAATTACAGTTAAATGAATTTTAAACGTCCACTAATAATAATTGCCAATAATACACAAGTTTTAATTACCTCACAATACTCTTCCTTAATTCAAACTTGCAAGGCTTAACATTCTTATCTTGCTTGTCATATCTTCAAACTTGCTAGTCTTTAAGCCCTTTGTTAACATATCTGCTAACTGGTCTTCTATACTGCAGTGTTCTATTGCAAGTTTCTCTTTGGCCACTTGATCTTTTAGGAAATGATACTTGATCTCTATATGCTTGCTTCTTCCATGAGCAATTGGATGTTTTTCTAAATTAATAGTTGACTTGTTATCCACTTTCAACCTCATAGTACTTTCACACTTCACTTTCAGTTCATGTAGCAACATTTGTAACCACTGTGCCTGACTAGCACCAAAAGCTGCCGCAATATACTCAGCTTCATAGCTTGACAATGTTACAACATTTTGCTTCTTCGAACACCATGCTATTGGAGCCTTACCCATCATGAAAATGTAACCAGAAGTAATATTCATGTGTTATGTATCTCTACTCCAATCAACATCAGTATATCATATTAACTCAATAGTTACAGGTCCCTCCGTACTAGGAAATATAATTCCCCAGTCAATTGTGCCCTTGAGATATCTCAGTATTCTCTTTACAGCCACCATGTGAGTTCTCTTAGGCACCTCCATGTATCTACTTGCCACTCCAACATTATAGACTATGTTTGGTCTTGAGTGACAGACATATTTAAGTGAGCCAATCAACTGTCTAAATAATGTAGAATCAACACCTTCATCAGTGGCATTTTTCTGCAATTTCACAGTAGTATCAACTGGTGTAAATGCAGGCTTGCACTCAAGCATTTTAAACCTCTTGAGTACATCAGTAATGTACTTCTTCTGATGCAGAAAAATTCCCTTTTCACATGACACAAATTCCATGCCAAGAAAATAAGATAATTTTCCTAGATCAGTTGTCTCATACTCGATCATCATTTGCCTCTTGAGCTTCACTATTTCTTGTTCATTGCTCCCTGTCACTAATAGGTCATCCACATACAGACAAATGATTATCAAGTCATCATTTGTGTTCAATCTTACATACACACCATGTTTAGTTGAACACTTAGTAAAATTTAGCTTCTTCAGTGAGGTATCAATCTTCTTATTCCAAGTACGTGATTCTTGCTTGAGTCCATGCAAAGCCTTCTTCAACTTCATTACCTTTTTTTCCATACACTTCTTCTCAAAGCCACATGCCTGCTTCACATAAACCTCCTCTCTAATGGCCCGTTGAGAAATGCAGAGTTGACATCAAGTTGATTTAACCTCCATTTTCTCAAACTAGCCAGTGCTACTACTAATCTCACAGTCGCAATCCTTGCAACTGGGGCATATATCTCATTAAAGTCAAGTCCAGGTTGTTGCAAGAAGCCCTTTGCAACCAACCTAGCTTTATATTTTGCAATCTCACCATTTGGCTTCATCTTAGTCTTGTAGACCCATTTCACATCAATGGCTCTCTTATTACTTGGTAGATTCACCATCTACCAAGTTTCATTTTTTTCAATTGACCTTAATTCATCCACCGTTGCTTCCTTCCACTTTGGATTTAAAAGTGCTTGATCAAGTGTTATAGGTTCAGACTCTTCCATGAGAACCAAGTGCATTATATCAATAACATCTTCACACAAGCCTACAGGGTACATGGCATAACCTTGTAGTCTCACTGATGGGAATCTTACTCTGTTAGATCTTCTCAATTGTTCCACATTGTCATTATCATCATTATTAACACTGTTTTCATTGAGATTGTTCACATTGTCATCATTAAGAATAATTAGTTTAAGCACATTCACTTCTTCCTCATTGTCGACTTGGTCACTGTCAAGTTGAATGATAGTTGTTCTACTGGAAGCTTGCTCAGTTGATTCCTTCCAAATCCATTCTCTAGTTTCATCTACAATTACATCATTACTCACTACTATCTTCTTGTGAATTGGAACATATAGTTTGTATGCACCAGTGCTATGATAGCCTATGAATATTATTGCTTATGCTCTAAAATCAAGTTTTCTTCTATTTTGTTCAGGCACATGCCTGTAACACAGTGAGCCAAACATTCTAAAATGATTTATACTTGGTTTCACACCACTCCATGCTTCTTTAGGCGTGATGCCTTCTAGTCTCTTGGTTGGACACCTGTTCAGTATATGAGTAGCTATATATACTGCTTTTGCCCAGAACTTATGTGGAAGATTTTTTTCTCTTAGCATACATCTCACCATATTAAGCAGAGTTATATTTCTTCTCTCTGCTGTACCATTATGTTGGGGAGTATATGAGGCCATTACTTCATGAACTATACCCTCATGTTTACAGAAATTTTCAAACTTATGTGATGTATATTCACCATCACCATCAATTCTACGCAATTTAATTGTACTATCACACTATTTTTCCACTAACAATTTAAATTGCTTAAAAATGTTGAACACTTCACTCTTTTTTCTGTATAAGATAAATCCACATCTTTTTAGTATAGTCATTTATGAAGGACGCAAAATAGGAATTACCTCCAATGGATTTGACTTAAAAGGGTCCACATACATCTGAATAAATGATAGCAAGCTTCTTTGTTCCTCTAGTTGGTATTGCAGACTTATATGACTTCCTTGGTTACTTTCCCTCACAACATTTTCCACATATCTCCTTCGGTTCTTCAATTTGAGGTAAGCCAACCACCATATTCTTCTTCTGCAACATCTTCAAGCTATTGAAGTTCAAATGTCCCATCCTCTTATGACATTTCCATACTATATCATCTACTTGTGTAATTAGACATTTTTTTATCAATAAAATTCACACCAACCTTGAAAGTTCTATTTCTTGACATAGACACTTTCAATACTACCTTCTCTTTGCTATCAAAGACTTCCATGTGATTCCCTTTCATATTCATTGAATAACCCTTCTTTAGTAATTGCCCCAAACTAAGCAAATTACTCTTCATTTGTGGAACATAAAGTACATCACTCACTATTACTTTTGTTCCATCTTCCCTTCTAATGGCTACCTTTCCAGTACCTTCTGCAATGACATAGCTACCATCACCAAATCCAATCTTCTTTTTCACAGTTTTATCAATTTCACAAAACCATTCTAAATGGCTTGTCATGTGATTAGAGCACCCTGTATCCAAGTACCACCATTCTATTCCACTATCTTCAGTAACTGTCATCAACATCATCACCTTTTCATCAATTGTTGCCACTAATGTAACAACTTCTTCATCTGAGTCACGAGCTAATTATACCTCTTCATTTCTCTTCCTAGGCCCCTTAGAATTCACACATTCATCTGCAAAGTGACCCCATTATTGACAGTTATAGCATTGAATGTGTTCCTTGGATTTCTTCTTTCCTTTGCTA